AGACAGGAAGCCTTTTAGTTGTTAGTGGACCTTTATTTTCTTTATATGTGGTGCTGAGAATTGAGCTCAGTGCCTCACACATGCTAGGCAAGTGCTCTCTACCACTGAGCCACATTCCCAGCCCAGGAAGCCATTTGATCAGCAGTGTAAAATAATACATCTACCCAAATATGCCAAATCAAAATGCAAGCTTCATGAGGAGAGGGAGTTGTGTCTGTTTTGTTGCTGACTGTATCCTTGTAATTAAAAATAAGAAACAAAAACGTTGTTAAATAGTGGAAATCTTGAGTGTTTGAGCATCACAGTGTCATCTTTGAATGTTAGCAGGTAAATTGTCCCTTGAGTTCTTTAACTTTCTGTCATTGGTCCGATCATCCCTTGTTCCACACATACCTACTGAGTACCTACTGTGTGCCAAACACCAGCCTCGGTGCTGGGAATAGAAAAGCCAGAATAAGGCCTGGAGCTGTGGCTCAGTGACAGAACAAGAACTCAGTATGCGCTAGGCCAAACCCCAAAAAAGAAGGGGAGTGAAGGGGCCCAGAGGAAGAAGGGAAGAGAAGATGAAATGCCCGAAATGAGGTCTCTTGCTCTGGGAGATTATAATCTTATTTGCAGAAAGGAGGGGGAAAGGCAAAGTGAGGCAGATGGAGGACAATGGACTGGCCACCTCTCCTCCTCGGCCCCTGGGCCTTGCCACTAGACTTTTTTCCTCTACCTGCATTTTGAAGAAACTGGAGTCTGTAATAAGCTTTCTGTTACAAGAGGAACCCGGGAGTATTTCATGGTTGTATGTTCACTCCGACCCACTTGATTCTGCCCCTCTATATTTTGGGTGGCATAGTTTCAGCCACTGTTTGGGGGCGTCAGTTGCTCTTGTCCAGGGACAACACCAGAGGCCAACCCAGATCGGATACAATGGCGTGACCCTGGACGGGGCCTCCAACCGCATCGGCCATAGGCAGCATTGTTGCTGTGGCTGCTGTTATTTTAATTATGATTGTACGTTAACCACCACCTTCCTTCCTCGGCCTCCCTTCAGCTGCAATGATGTATGTTACTTTTTGGTAACTGGATTTCATTAACATTTATGAACTCTCATAAAGTAGTAGAAAAAGCAATTTGTGTGGAAGAATTTTCCACCTCATTAAACAGTGTTCTTTTGGGGGTCAAGCTGATATTTTGTTGTTGTTGGATTTTTTTTTTTATAGGTCCTTTGTCCTTCCCTGAGCCCTGGGGGAAGAAAAGAGAGCCGTCCACGTACAGCTGGGGCTCATGAGCCCTATAGAGGGCGCTAGACCTGGGACGGACTTCCCGCTGGCTGTCGCCGGGCTGTACCCGCTGTCTTTTCACACTCCCCAGGTACCCAGAACGCACCCTGGGTCCCTGCGACCTATATTCCCTCCTTGGTCAGATCTGATGGCATGGCCAGCGCGCAGCTGATCCAGAGCCGAATACTGCTCCCACCTGGGACCTAACGGGGGTACGGGGCTTATCCTGGACAGAGGGTGCACAGCATTGGAGAACAACCCCCAGCGAGGCTCCAGGCCTCGGATACTTCTTTGGTACAAGCTCAGTGATGCGCCCACCCTACCCCGCTGGCTGTGAGGCAGGGGGGAGGCAGGCTCCTGCTTGGGGGAGGCAGGCTGCGGGGTGCAGGAGAGGCCGCGGTTCGGTCCTTTCCAGGCTGAAGCCCAGCGCAGTGGCACAGTCTAGCGCGGCGAACCGGCCCAGACCCGTGGAGTTTGTTTTCACACGGGACTGCACACCCGGCCCACTCAGGGGGCAGCGGGCTCCAGGCTGCCGGGACAGATTCTCGCCCTGGAAGCGGGCCTCGCCTCCATTCTCCAGCTGTCTCGAAATCTCGCATCCACCTCCCATGCCCGAGTCCCAGAATGAACCAGACCACCCTCTGGAGTCCCCAAAGGGGATGAGAAGGACTGATGTCCCGAAGAGGAGTTCTCCCCACTGCTAGCCTAAGGGAAAGGGCATGTGGCAGCGATCCTGTGGGGCTTTGGTTAGGGACGCCCTCCTTTCTCGCTCGGTCTCCAGCTCAGCTAATCACCGGCCTCCAGGTACCCCAGAAGGAAGCAAAAAAAGCCTCCTCGGCTTGACACGTGGGGGAATGAGGCAGAAACCCGAAGATACCGTGGCCTGAGGGCGCGGCAAAGTAACCAAAGAACCAGGGGACAGGTGTTGGGGGAATAAGCATGGGAAGACCTGCGTTCTCTATCCTAGAGGTAAAAATATAAAACGGTGATTCACACCCAATCTGTGTGTTCACCTTAGTTAGAAACAAAACTCAGCGTCCCAGGAAATCGGTTATCCAGGGCTGGGGGTGTAGCTCAGCTGGCCTGCCTGGCAGGCGCGCGGCCCTGCGGGGCGCGGGGTGCAGAGAACCTGGTGTTTGGTACTTGGGACGTTGGACATTCTGTTCAGCGAGACAGCTCCCAAATCAGATCTTATTAAGGAAGACCTCTAAGGCCTGTTAGCAGGTGACAGGAGCGCGTCTGCGGACCAGCCTCTGGAGGGGTGGTTCGCAGGGACCGGGGTAGACGGGGTCTGGGGGACTTTTCCGATTTGCTGAGTCAGCCGCGGGCGCCGTGGGCTTTGCTGTTTCCAGCCCAGGCGACTGTGCTTCGCTGACTGGTGTGTCGACTTGGTGGAGTAATTATTGTTTTGTTTTCTAATATGTAATTACTCTTTGTCGTCGCTATGATGAATCCACGGAGCTTGACTGGAGGAGCAGCGAGATGGATTCAAGTTTGGGGTGGCGGTTCGACGCGTGGGAATCCCTGGCTTCTCCCTACGCCGAGGACAACCTGGGGCCCACGCGACTCCCCAGCTCAGAAAGAAAGCGGGCGTCTGGGGTTGCGTTGCTGAGAAGATGCCGTCAAGCCCCATCCCCACACCATGGAGCCACTCTTCGAGTGGCTATGCGCAGGAATGGCTGTGTCTTGTTTTTTTCTCTCCTGAATGTCAATAAAAGGGGGAGGAGAAGT